TATTCCTAATAAGATCAGTTTCGGCCTCGAAAAACTTTTTCCGATCACCTCCTTGATCACGATGATTCTCTGTCCAGTTTATTTACGTTCCGGATCCCTCGACTTCCGGTCTCCAAATTGCTCAAAGCGACCTCCAAAGTCCAGAGCTGTACATTGCCACATTCATCGTCGAGTAAACTCGTTTTTCTGTAAACTACTGAGTGTTATAGTCATAGAGATGAACCTTTGACGCTTTCTTCAGCGATCTAGTAGCAATCTTCAGTAGCCGTAGTCTTCTTTTATTGATTCTTTGTTGGAGAGGATAAGAGATTAACGACCATAGGCTTGTTCGAAGATGGAAATTCTCGAGAGTCCTGGAAAATCTTATAATTGTTTGACTGAAACTATAATGAAAGTCTTACAGAGCTTTAATTTGAAACTAAATTTGAGTCTTGTACTAATTGAAATTTTATACATCGAATGTTTTCAATATAGGTTTTATTAATCTTGTAATGTGATAAAAACAACACAAGTAGCTAAGTTTAACATTATTCCAAAATGAAGAAATTAATTTTATTTGAATAACAAACTTTTATAAGGTTAAAGAATATTGGACTCCTTAATTGTAATACATTTTTAATAATATACAGCATCATGGAAAATTTCGATCTGTTTCAATACAAAATGAAGTCAGTATTATATTCTAAAACTATTACCAATCATTTACTGCAAAAGTAAGATTCCAAAATGGACGAACACAAATTAAAGGCCATCGTTTCAAATCCAAAACGGTCTCGAAAAGATACATATCAATTTCTTCTTATTATCTTCTCAAAACGTCACGTTCTTAAGTGATTAAAACTTCTGTACATTTTTACAAAACAAAAGAGCGTGTACTGTACAATGCATCAGTAAATTCTCGGTATTTGTCAGTCACCATCCATATGCATTCTTTCAGTTTTTCCCCACTTTTTCAATCAAAAATTGACCATATATGCCCCAATAATCATTACCATTTCCCGATACATCAATCGCCTATTTTGAATCACTGTGTACACAGCCCCGGAACCAGTGGAGTCGTAATACGGCGGCCATAGGTCGAACAGAGTTCAAGTACGGCGCCTAATTTCGTGCCACGAGAACCTCGAGGCCCCGATAAATTCTTGCATCCTCCCTTCCGACCAATCCTTGTTTAGAGTGCGTTTATATTATCCGTTCAGACAAATAACGTTTCAATTCAGATTGAAACATTTGGGTTCAACTGTTCGAGGATTGAGAAAGGCTGATAGAAATGATTTACAATTGTTTCTCTATTCAGTAAGTTCTGTGTAACATATCTGAAAAGATACGAAACGCTTTCTTAACGAACAACAATGTATATCTGAACTGAAACATTTCGTATCTGGGTAGGTAGTATACGGTGTGACCAAAAAGTTCACTGAATAGTATCAGAAAGCAAACGAAACAGAAGATATAAACAAAATACCTTTACCATCCTCCAAAATAATCTCTATCCGACAGAACAGCTTTCGGCAATGTGCATAAAGCTTCTGAAAACTGTCAGCAAAGGTCCTTTTTCATTGCTGTAGCACGGTCACGTCTTAGATAGTCGACATGTCTACACCTTTTATGGAAATCGAGTCTCTCATATATAGATGATCCTTTTCAATCATCGACTGTACTCCACTGATCCGGTGCTTGCGAACTTCTTCCTATTTCTCTGCTGGAAGAAGATCAAGAATGGGCACGTTCTGCAGATATATCAGCTATCCAAGATGTGACAGTAGTGCAATCGATTCCCAAAGAAGCCTCTGCTGACAGCTTCCAGAAGCTTTATACCTATTGCCAAAAGAGTGTAGCGTCATATGGGGATTAAATTGAAGGACACTGAAAGCTCCCATACTTGTTGGAACATGCAGCGATGTAGACATCGCTACAAACAATAGGTTTGAGTCTTTCATACTTCGTGTTTGAGAGCAATATGTATCACGAAACAGAAAATTGAAACCCATTGCTTGTAGCAATGCATCGTCACATGTTTCAGCGTGTATGAGAGTGTTAAAGGTGACATCTTTATACCTTCCGTTTCGTTTGTTTTCTAACACCATTCACCGAACTTTCAAGGTACACGGTGCATAAACGCACTCTTAACCGTTCCAATGCCAAACGACGCGATCGCGCTTCTCCGTTACATTGCCTTAACCGTTTGAGTCCGGGTCATCGAAAAAACATTGTCGAAAAATGTCGAACAGCGCAATAGCGCTTGTCTGAATTGACTGCGAAGAGACCCAAGCGGCGTTATTTCGATAGATTCCAAGTGCAGCGCCAGTTATCCATAGCGTTCAAATATACTGGGATTTTTCGACATGAAATCTAAACAGCGCACGCTGTTTGGGACTGAAACAGTTGAAGTGCCATCCTAACGGTTCATAGAATCAAACAAAGTTTATTTATTTGTTTTCCTTCTAATTATTTATTTTTAGTTTTCTTATCACCTGAGAAATGGAATAATGGAAGGATCGCGCTATTTCAAATTTTTTCCTGTAAAAATAGGAAAGTGCAATTCAGTTTCTGGGCTAAAACGAAAGAAGCGCGATCACTGCGCTTGGTACTTTTCGCCCAGGTTATCGCAAAGACCCGTGGCAGTCGCAAGAAGAGGGCCAGACATAAAAATATGTTTTCCGAATGAAACTCTATGCATGTATAGTACATATCTAAAAATACAAAACCGTCATGGCTGTCGACAATGGTCTTTCAAAAAAATGAGTTTTAAGTCTGTATGGTACTATAATAAGACGACAAATAATATTACTATAATAAAATACAGGCTACTTAGGGGTTATAATTCAAAAGAAAACAAAGAAAATGCAGAGAGAAAAAAATTCCAAGCATGGAGATTCGGAACTTGCAACCTGCAGTGTCATAGCCGTGCTACCACCCCCTGTTGTAGTAGGCTTCTTCTAATCGTCTTACAGTAACATACAAATTTAGAAATCATTTTTCTTTTAAATGAAGATTCATCGTTAAAAAACTCTTGAGGGTTTTTCATTTCAGATACAGTATATTCTACAGTTCCCTCGGCAAGCCAAGAAGCTTGAGGATCGAACAATTGTAATATGATACGCTGTTCAGTAGGGTAGATACCGGTGGGACAATATTAATGCAACTGTAAACCTTTTTTTATCAAAGATTTTTTGTAAATGAAACTTTTATTAACGTATTTGTGAGATTTTTCTGGTTGAAACAAGAACAAACACGATATACTTTAAGTTACAATTTACTAGAAGAAAATAGATTGTTATAATTTATTAAGTAAATATGTTCCAAAATATATCGTGTTTGGTCTCGTTTTAATCGGGAAAACCTTGCAATTCAATTAGCAGAAGTTTCAATTAGTAAAAGTGAAAAATGAAAAAAGTCTGATGTTGCATTAATATCTCCTCATTCGTCTGATTCTTTTGATTGTTCCGGAAACAAACAGGAGCTTCGCTAGGATCTTATCTGGACTTCCCATCGAAACCACTGCACGATTATTACCCAGTCACAGTCCGGATTTTCGGGTGTTAATCGCGAGAATGCTATATGTATCATGACATGCATAGGGTTTCATTCGAAAACTGACTTTTATGTCTGGCATTCTCTTTGTTGAGATCCCCATACACGCTGAAAAATGCGGCGATGCAGGCATCGCTACAAGCGATAGGTCTGAGCCTTTTTCTTCTTTATGTGTAACATGTATGATGGAACTTTGGAAGACTCAAACCCATCACTTGTATGATCCGACAGAGAAAAGACTTCGCTTTTCCTAAAAGCTAAAAAGTCAGGGAGGCAAGGAAACTGAGACGGATACCGAATCCGACGAAGTGAAGTGTAACGATAGAGAATGAGTTGGCGACGCTATAAATTTCATTTTCTGTCATTACATCTCACTTCGTCGCATTCGGTGTCCCTTCCAGTTTCCTTGTTTCCCTGACCTTTTAGCTTTTAAGAAAAGCGAAGTACTTTCTCGGTCGGACTATACAAGCGATTGCTTTGCGCCATTTTCATTTCTTCTTTGAGTCCAATATGTATCGTGAAACTTGGGAAGACTGAAACCCATCACTTGCAGCGATGTCTGCATCGCCGTATTCGTCGTGTATGGAGGCCTTCAGACAGACGAGCGCGCCGTGTTCTCCAAACACAGGGCTATAGGTAGCCGCCACGATGGGGATCGACCGCGTAAAACGGGCGCGTTCGCGCGCGAGGCGCGGGCAGTATTCCCGGAACGAATCGCCGGTGCACGTTCGATTGGCGGAATTGGCGAACAGGAAATTCGAATCAGCGGCCGCGCGGGGAACGCGCTCGAATTCCAGCGTCGCTCGCGTTTCAGTTACCGTTTTCATATAATTTCGTTTCCATTGGTTAATTGGTGCGTTCGCCACGTCGCGCGGCCCGCAAACCTATTTACCTATCAGTAGAGAACCGGAAGTTGAAGCGGGACGTAAAATGGCGAGTCGCGAACAAAACTCGTCGAGAATTGCGATCACGCAATCCCGATTGGTCCCAGGAAGTCGGGACTTACCCTTAGTCCCGGTCGGTGATCGTCGGCGAACAACAATGGCGGACAGAGTACCTAACCAAGACGATCGATGGAAGATCACATAATCGACGGAGGATCAAAGAGAAAACACTTGGAAAAGTTTCTCTTCTCTTTCTCGTAGTTTTGTTACTTAATTTCTCTTGAATTTTGTTTTTTAGTTACCTTCGATTGAGATTTTTTTTCTCTTTTTTCCGTTAACACGTTCGATGGTTCTTTATCCTGTAATCAATTCGATATCCTCGAATGTGAGACGCGCGAGGAAGCAGGCAGATTAATACCATCCCTTTTAGATACATATATATATATTGTATATGTATATTTTATATACATATATAATATACTTTTATCGGTGTCTTCGTATACCCCTGAAGCACTTTAACGATTCATGTGGAGGCGGCACGTGTTTTTTGTTGAGCGATGGATATCTTCGTCGTTGTTACAGATGGGGAAGCTTGGTAGCAATCCGTTAGCTGGACTAGCAGCTCTGGGCCTCGGAGGCCTGGCCACACCTGCCAACACTGGCGGACTTAATCCAGCAGGTGAGAATATTGTTGAGATTTTATTGCCCTGTTTGTGACGTTTAATTTACTTTTGCTACCTAGATAGCTTTCGATAGACTGCTCTTGTTCTTAAATGTCAAGGGAATAGATGTCGAACAGATATGATATTCGATAAAAATATTAATTCCTTTCATAACATATTGGCAACCGGGTTGCACTGTAAAAATTGTTGTTATTCAAGGAGGATAAAAGTAAAGTGTAGAACTACTTTTATCAAAGATTACGAAGTTGTTTCAATTTTTCTTAGAAATGTCGTGTCGGGTGAACCTGAAACCTAACTCATTTAACAAATCTTAACTGTAATTTAACTCGAATGAATGCCACTATATTAACACAGTGACAGTAACGGTGTGACTTATCTCTGCCAGGAATTACTAACTAGTATCACGTTCACAAGGTTTTGCTGATCTCAGTCCAGTTGTGTAATCAGATTGAGACAGCAAATTTCAAAACACAGTCTGGTAAAAAATATTTCTTTGTAATAAAACTGAAGAAGCGTTATAGGATTTTGTTAAAATAATAATTATCATACCAATAATGGTATCTAAGCAGCAGTAAAATATTTATTCAATTAATCACAATAATCATTTCGTTGGAAGTAAAGTGTATTTCTGTTAAAATTATTAAGGTAATCAAGAAGTCTCGCATTTGTTAAGAAATTTTTAAATTAAGTTCTACTTTATTCAGTTGCACTCCATTAACTCTAGAACGACCGTAGAATGACTGGTTTCGTTTTTCTTGTTTGACAATGATTGATATCTTAAAAGCATCGAATATTCGAAACGATTTTGAAAATAAATAGTTCCATTTAATTATAACAAATATACGAAGAAAACTATAAATAATCTATAGTTACAATTTTTATAGAGATTACACATCAATCGTATTAAATGCTCAGTAGGTCTAGTATTAAAGCACATTTATAGTAATCCGACATACATAAAAATTCATTTTAAATTATAACTTATAAAGACCGGAAAAAAAGACAAAAATTAAAAAAAAAATACGTTTAAATCATTCGTTTTGCAGCACTGGCAGCGCTAGCCGGCAGCCAGCTGCGCACCAGCAACACAAACAGGCAACAGCCAGCGGCGAACAATCAGACACACGAGCTGACCGTGCCAAACGAGTTGATCGGTTGCATCATCGGAAAGGGCGGTAGCAAGATCGCCGAGATCCGTCAGATTTCCGGCGCGATGATCAGAATCAGTAACTGCGAGGAGAGGGAGGGTGGTGCCACGGATCGTACGATCACCATTACCGGAAATCCGGACTCCGTGGCATTGGCACAATATCTCATCAATATGAGGTGAGTACCACGGTACCCAGAGAGCACACACTGTAAATGCCAATGGTTACCGAGATTGAGGACGAGGGTCCATCCGAGAGGAATATTGGACCCCGGATTCTCGTTTATTATTATTATATATATTACACCTTCAGCAAACCGTTCAACGTTTTAGCTACATATATGTCTATATTTATATGTACATACATATACATACGTATAATATATGTATGTATATATATGTATTTATATATATTTATATGTATATATGTATACATTATATTCTGTCGAACTTGAAAAACATGCGAAAGCAAAGAAAAAAAAACGCTTCCATGAATCCCATTCGAAACAA